ACAACACTAGCTCCACAAATTCTACCTGCCAACCATGCATGTAAGCGGTCTTGGTCGGCTGCAATATCTGCAACAATGCAGTCGCGACATTTCTCCGCAATCGATCTTTGTAATCCCGTGTCCAGAAACCGTTCTTGGGATGCCTGGCAACTTTGAAGAGCTCATTGTAAGAGACTTCTTCCTCCTTGGACACCTTCACGCTATCGGCCTCAAAGAGGAGGTCCCCTTCCTCGCCGGCACACCTGCCCAACACTTGCGCCCAGTTGCAAATGTCCCATCTCTCTGGGTGTGGGCGGAATCCGCGAGAGGGCTTGTGTCTCTCCTGCAGATACTCGCGCACCATCTCCGGACATGTCCAGTTCCACCCCCATAGGAGAAAATCAAGCTTCAGCCTCAGCAGCACATCTTGAAATGCGCGTAGACCGATCTGCGGCACCCTGAGTGGAGACACTCGCAGCTGGGGAACCTTCGACATTGCGTTGCATGCACACACAAACGTTCTCCCTTTCGCTCGCTCTCTCACAATCGCCACTGCGCGTCGGCCGCTCAAGCACTGACTGCTCACTCTCTCTGCGCTCAAGCTCAAGATCGCTACTCGCAATTCTCTCCAAGGTCTGCCAAGATCCTTGCGCAACTCGTCTCCGCACTCTCTACTCTCACTGCAGGTCGCTCCGCCCTTGCGCGTAATCTTGGAAACTGGAAATCGCAAAGTCAAGAATGAGAGAATGAGACTGGAGCGCAGTCTTTTCTTCTCCGATTTCAAGAACGTCCAACGTTCTTACTGGTTACAACGTACGCAGCCGGCTATACGGCTTAACGGTTCGCCCTTTGCATGCGCGAATTCACGTCTCCGCACTACGCGCATTCGCATGCGTAAATGTTGAATTCTCCCGCCGCCGCCACCTTCCGGACTCGAGTCCGCTGCATGGTATACGTCGGCCCTGTTGTCTTTTCCTAACCCGTCCCTCACCGGAGGCGTGTCGCCGCTGGTGCGTTCATTATCCGTTGGCGCCTTGCTGGAGGCGCACATCTAGTCGGAGCGAATAACGCCGGCGCGCAGTCGTGCCGCTTATTTTGTCCTTTATGCCTCGTCCGTTGCTGCCGGCGCATATCCGCCAGCGCAACTCATGCCAGCGCATCCGGCCGTCAGCGCCACGTCGGAGGCGTACATCCGACCGGCGCTTTCCTTCCATGAACAGCCGCCAAAGGCGCTTCCGACTCTGAGTTGGTTTCCTCCTATGAGCGCGTGATTCCGCCGAAGGCGCATTGCCGAGGGCGTACGGGAATCCTTTCCGGCTGTGAACCCTAGCGCGAACGGCGCATGTCCGGCTACGAGTTTTCCGACGCTCATAACTTCTCCGTGCCTGATCCATCTCCGACGCTCTTGGGCTCGTTAGAGCAAGCGTCTCGAGCTCTTTCTAATGCAACTTCAACCAACTGGATCTACCGTGTATCCCAATCGTTATGAAGGTTTTCCCTTTCCGCGCTAGCGGCGCTTCGCCGAAGGCGCACTCATGGTCGGACGCCTTTAGAGGTCCGGGCCCTTCTCCTGACGTCTTTAGCAAAACCTCCTCCTGAGGTGTCTGCGCCGGAAGCGTAGCTTCCTTATACGCTGGAGGCGCGTGAGTAGAGACACCTCAGAAAAGGAGCTTTTGCCGAAGGCGCCGAAGACATTGGCGTTGGTACCTCCGACTACGTGATTCTTTGTGTCCTCGTGACGATCTCATCAATCCACTCTATTTAACGTACCCTTTTCTAACTACAAACACTGCTTCGGTACTAGTTTTCTAAAATTGTTTAAATTCTGCAAAAAAAACAAAAAGTGTGTTACCACATATGTGTACATGCGTTCTTCCCCTTCTCATAAACTGGGAACACTATCTGTGCACTTTGAATATTTTTTTTCCTGTTGTGTTTATTGTTCTTTCCGGTTATAACATATGGATGAGCGTTCATCTTGTTTGAGTTGGCAGTGGCTATTGAGGCAGCACGCACACTTGCAATTAGTTTCACACGAATCTGCTCCAGTATCTGAATTTCAGGTGATTGCTTGTGTGAAATTTAACACGCTCATAGCCGCCATCTGCATATTACGTTAATGTATGATTGCCATGTGCCCTTTACAGCACCTATGTTGTATAATATCTTCCAAGCTTGTACTGCTGCAAGTATCAACCTTGAGCCGATGAAGGCTTAAATCTTTGTAAGCAAAAGTGTCCAAACCAATATTTTTCACATACCTTGTCTTAGGATGTACGTCTTTGACTGTTTCGATCCTGGAGGCTATTGAGAACCAAGACTAGATCAAAGAGTCGGGAGGTGTAAGAGTTGGGGATGTTTTCGATGAGTGAAGTAGCACATACTGTTGACATGGCATGTCGGAACGGTTGGAACGTCAAAAGTGCTTTGTATTTTGGAGGTTTTTTTGTTTACAGTCCCAGTTCCGTTCCAGATAATTCACTTCTCGTAAGATACAAATCCAAGAATTTTACAGCAACTTACTACACGAGATCATACATTTAGGAAAATTGTCCCAGGCAATGTAAACTTACATCTCGTCGTTGTGCAGATCTTGTTCGAGCTTATCAGGGTACCTGATTGGGCTTTTCTCTCGGTGGCCTTTAGTCAAGAGCTCAATATTGACCAAGTAGTACATGATATACAACAAGGAGCTATAAGAGTAGTTGTCGGAGAAGTGGTGAGGAGGTTTTAAGAATAAGACGGATACCGATCATGAGGCTCATGATCGGATATGCTCATGACATGAGCAGCAAGATCACTCGACCAACCGTTCCCCCTTCGTTCAAGGCAATATGTCGACTGTTCTACAGCAAGATTACTTCTTCTAAGAACATTTGGAAGTGTAAATGTGGAGTAGATTGGAAATGTGATGTCATTAAAAATGGGTACAATAACCTTATGACCCACGTAAAGAGCAAGCATCCAGATTATCTCGACATCTACGCGGCTCATTCTCTAGAATCATCCTCAAGCAGATCACATTTTTCCAACGATGGAGTTGAGCTGACCACGCTCGAATATATGGTTGATTCGAAGTCGCGTGGTATATATAAATGGCTGGATTGGATAGTCATGGATGAGCACGAGCTAAGTTTCTGTGAAAAAGATCATACCAGAGAGAACATGAACCTGCCGAAGATCTGCTCCAAAACTCTGAAGAAGTATATGTTTATGCTGGTGGATGTTGTTGAAAAAAAGATCACAACATTGGCTTTAGCTAGGTCACGCTATGCCTTGATCTTTGATGGTTGTACGGAAGATTTCACTCATTTTCTTGGTTTATTCATCACTATTCCTACTCAAGATAAGGCATCATCCTCTTTTCACATCTATCTGTTGGCATTTGCGCCATTTCTGGACAAAACTACATTCATTGCAGTCATTCATCGGGATTTTATTCCATCAACACTAGATTGGTATCAACTGCCTATTAGTAATCTCATTTGTTTGATTGGTGACAATTGCAGTACGAATTGTGCAACAACAGACCTACTCGGATTTCCACTGTTGGGTTGTCGTAGCCATTGTCTCAACTTGGCAGTTGAAGCTTACATTGATTGATATCTAGAAAGCGAGATTGATTTGGTGAGCAATCTGATGTCCAAGCTTTCAACCTTGAAAGAGGCGGGTAAATTGCACATGACTAGCTCATTGCCACCTGTTAAATGCAATAAGACTCGTTGGCTCGGATTGATCAAAATGCTTGATTGTTACTAAAGGTTGCGACCTCACATTGACGACATCAATCCCGATGTAGCGGAACTCCTTCCAACTGCTTGCCAACAAAACGTCATTCGTCACCATACTGACGCATTATCTGATTTTAAATCAGTGACCGAATCGTTGCAAAGAGAGAATGTCACTATTTGAGAATCTCAAACTTTGTTCCAATCTCTCATTCATAGTTTTCCAAGTTTCCATTTTGATTCATATCTTTCAACTGATACGCCCATCGCTAACAATACCACATTTGAAGATGTTATCATAAAGTGGAGTGGGAATGCAAAATGCTAAATAATGAAAAAGAGTTTCTCCTATGCCTAAAGTTGCCAAATACCGATGTGCAGGAATAATCTGATGATACTAGATTTTATTTTGCAGAACGCGCACTCAAGCGACAGCGAATGAAGCAATCCAAACAATCTGCCCACAATGATACCAAATTTCTACTGCCTACATCAAACCATGTCGAGCATCTATTCTCTATGAACAAGCGAATGAAACAATCCAACATTGACACCAGATTTCTACTCCCTACATCAAACCATGTCGAGAGTCTATTCTCTATGAGCAAGCGAATCTTTTCGGCCAAATGTAGATGACCCGTAATCTGACATAACCGCAAGCTTTGTAACATGCCCTTCGATTTAATTGTGGTTAATATCGATTGTGAAGGAGATGACCCGTGTCATGCAGAAAGCGAAGCAGGATAGATATTATAATATGTCTAATTTTTTATAATAGATATTGCAATATATTGTATAGTGAGATTAACAATAGTAATATATTGTATTGTGTTGAAATACAGTACAAGTATATTTTTTTGTATTTTTGGTAGAGCCAATATAATTTCAGATAATATTATTCGGAACTTTGCTTTACATGTTGATGTTAAGATTCGTTTTGCTAGGCTGATAAATGAGTATCTAGAAATACAATTTTAATTCATAACATAAACACTGGTCCATGGTGCGGTTTGCCTTCTCAGATACTGAAATCTTCGCCATTGAAGTTAACATGTGATCCTTAAGAATTCGAGTTTACATACATTCCAGTAAGTATTTCGACCTTCGACGACAGAGCATGGCAAGATTTCGAAACATGTCCTAATAATTGGCTCCAAACAATTTCAAAAACCAAAGCTTCAAACTGAGGCACATGCTTCATCCCATCCCATAGAATCATGAGACACCTCTGGACTAGTACCAGCTTGAGATCACGGGAACGGACATTCACAACACTTCCGCAGCATTCGAAGTATGACGAACTTTTTTTTGGGACAAATCCAATTTCAATTCATTTAAGATACTCAGCGAAAACAGCTGAGCGGATTGTATGAAAGAGAACAACTCTTAATTTCTACGGAGTTGTATCACGTAGTGCAGCTCTTCAACAGGAATGAATCTGCTCGAATAGTAATCTAAAGAAGCTTGGAGTTTGGGGGCAAGAAAGAGCGTCATGCAGATTGTAGACATCAATTCATGTCAATTAATCATTACTGACTAAAGAAATTTGGAGCTATCGACCTAGAGATACCGTTGTACACAAAGCCACATACTACAAAAACGCATAAGCCTTGTTGCTGGAGCTAAAGCAAGTCTTTCAGCCCTTCTTTCACAATCTGGGTTGTGATAGGGCTCACTAGAAATATGATATTTCAGAGAGTCTCCTCAGTTCACTCTATTGCAGCAGTTGGAGAACAGCAGCTGCTACGAAAACGATAGTGAGGAATGGGCTGACGACTGTTGTCGATGCAGGGCTATTACCTCTGTTTCCCGCCACGGGAGCTGGGATCAAGCACAGTAAAGCCAGTCAGCGATCACCATTATACTTATACTTATACCATAAACTGACAACATGTACAGGAACCACTCAAGACTGTCAAATGTGGGAAGAAGAAATTATGAAAGGCTTCAGAGAGCGGAGGAATTATTACCTGCTGCAGGACCAGGCACAGCGCTTCCACCTGAGGTCAATGATCGACAGAAGTTAGCGCCAGATGCCGAGCCATCAAGAGCATCGATGCAGAATGTATTGATGTGAGTGAAAAGTGATAACCGTGACGTGAGTGTGGGAATGTGCAATACCTGAACAGTTATCGGGGTTCACTTCGACATTACAGTACATGGGAAGCTGCATTGCGAGGGTCGTGTTCAAGCCACTGACACCTCCTTCGAGAAGAGTGCAAAGGCAAGATGGAGCGGTCTCGACCACTCCACCCAAATTAGAGCAACATTCCGCAGAAGGAGGGCTCGACTGCCCAGTGACGAAAGCCAAGCACGATGCAAGCTGAGTGAGCTGGGGGTTGCAATCTTGCACTGGTGGGGGAGGGACAGCCGTCGGAGGGCTCATGGTGGGTGCCTTCACAGGGCTGGCTGTGGGTGCTGCGGATAGTGCCATGTGAGGTGTGAGAACGATGCACGAAGTAGGTCAAAGTAGTGGGGGCATGATGGCCTACAATGATTGCGAATCAAAATCTGCCTCTCCGATGAGACCATCGAAGAGACAGATCAAACTACCTATCTTGTGCAAGAAATGACACGAAAATGGACTCGAATGTTAACGTGAGAGTGAAGTACTCACCAACTGTTGGTGCAGTGGCTGTTGGTGGAGAGGTGCCTGCATCAACAGAGACAATGATCAGCGTCTAGATAATGGGGTTCATCTTTACAACTACATAAGGAAGAGCTTCACGGAAGAATGGCAAATACAGCATTCTGATCACGTGGCCAAACTCGAACAAGTACACGACCGAGAGGTGAGCGTCAACGTGGACTCAACCACAAGCAGAGCAGCGAGACTGCTCGGGTCTGAGGGCAATCATGACTTGGCTTGACAGTTCAAAAATCAAGTCAAAATGGACCACCGAGAACAGGCGCTGCTCTCGTCTTTCACAATCACATCGCGCAACGAACAGACCAATGGGTGGATCGTCGGTGATTGGAGGCCTCACACGGCGCTGAAGTCGGCGAGCCTTAAAATTTACAGGACAGTCCCGCAGAACAATGTCGCGCGTGATATCCACCTCACGGCGATACTCAACAGGTGCAGGGGGGGTCGATGGAGACGGGGTTGGGTTTGGGGGAGCTGAAGACAATGAACGGCCCTCTCATCAGCGAAGATGATCAGACAGGCAAATATAATGTTAGGAGACACATTGTCATTGAGGCTTACCAGGGCCGGAAGAAGGCACCGGTGCTGCGACTGGAGCTGGTGAGCCTGCGCAGAGAAGAGACTCGATTAGCTCCCATGGATCATTCATACGACCAAAAGCACGTCACAATGGCAGTTGACAATATACTCTGTGGGACCTTCTCATTCTCCGAGGAACGAACTGCAACGTTTGTGCACATGGAGATGCGTTGGACAGCGCAGCTGACTTCTACGGTGCATCTAGTCAGGGACTGACGAATACTCAAATGCAAGGGAGAATGATCTTCGCATGAAGGCCCAAAGCACAGATGACAGACTATTTGAACAGCTGCAGAGTATTGAGAAATACTGACTGTCACTTGCACAGCTCAGACTAGAAATCAGAACTACTGTCAGTGATGGTGGGAACTCACCTCCGCAATCGGCTGGGTTGGCTTGGACCTTGCAGAAGGTCGGAAGCTCAAGGGCGCGAGTGACATTGATGCCGAGGGATGCGCTTTGATTGGCATTGAGGAAAGTGCAGAGGCAGAGGGGATTGGAGGCCTTGACAGCTCCGAGCCCCGTGCAGCATTCAGCTGAAATGTTGGGGGAGCTGTTGGTGACATAGTCGAGGCAGGGGAGAAGATCGGTCAAGGCGTCAGTACAGTCCAGCTGGGGAGCAGGAGCGGGCGTCGTCTGCCCCAGGCCCGAGGGAGCGAAACACAGAGCCGTGACGAGCAGAACCATCGACATCGCTCCGAAACGCGACATGATTCTCAGCTCTGAGCTCACTCAAACTCAGACCAGGTCAACCCGTTCCACGCCTCGATACAATGCGCGCGCGCGCACAAACTCTCTCACACACTCTCACAAGCTCTCGCTAGCTGATCGTTCAGACCACACTCTGCTCTGCAACAACACGGAGGGGATTGCAGAGAGGGGAGCTCAGAATCGTTTTGAACGTACAATGGCTCCACACTCCCAGCTTCGCTGCAGCGGGCACAACTGGTCCGAGTGAGCGAGGAGCTTGCAGGCGAGTGAGTAGGAGGAGGCGAAGGGAGGCCGAGAGTTAAGTTCCCGAGATAAACCAGCTGATCTCAGACAGACAGACAGGGGAGGGGCTTCGATGACTCCAATCGAGTTCGGTCTGGTCTCCGTGAGTCAGTGCAGCGATACGTGAGCTACTCCGTAGCTACTCCTCACTTTCTCGCCAAACGTCCAGAGAGTCCCCGCTGTGCTGCAGCCAGACAGCCAGGCAGTAAGAACGCCTTAAAGACGGTACAGCGCGCAAACCCAGCGTCGTCAACTACTCGAACCGCTGGGCAAATGGCCGCTCCGGTTCCAGGACTCCATCGGTCGTAATGGACAACTACCCGCCCGCTGCGCCCCCGCGGCGCCCGCTCCCATCAAGTAAGCTCTGCTGCTGCTGGTGCCGCCGCTGTCCCCGAGAGGAGATAGATAACCTTCCCCGAAAGAAGAAGGAATCATGGAGCCCGTCCCGTCGCCCAGTCCCACCGGAGTGTCCCCTCGTGGGCCAGCCCCACATTCATTTCCTCCTGCTGCTGCTGCTGCTCCTGTCCCCATCTCGGGGGTGTCCCCCGCCAATTCCATCTCTCCGGCTTCCAGTCGCTATCCGGGACTCTGGCGACTCTGTCCGTTGCTGTCAGTGGGGCATTTAAGCGCTTGAATCGGGGGTTCCGCCAATTCTAGACCGCGGTAGAAAAGGTTCTCGAGGCAGGGCGGGAGGGCGTTCCTTGAGCGGCCAGATGGTGCCGCTGCCATGGCCTTTACTCCGAGGGCAACTACCCCCACCCGCTATGCCTTGATTTCCCATTATGACCGCTCCTCGAATTGCCCACTTCCATTTGACGTGCGACTTTTCTCCAATAAACGCTTCCCGCGTAATGGCCGTTAGATCGTTTCTCTTTACATTCGATTGCTGCGTACTGTGTTTGCGGTATGATTGACCGCTCTCCCTCGCTCGGCTCATTTTCATCATTTTCGTAGAGTGTTAATTCCTTCTCCGGGTGAAAAGTCGCTCATGGTATGCCCGAAAGTCAAGGGTTTGCCTTCCGCTCGGGTCGAAGGTACACGCATAGGGCTTCAGAAATCCCACCCTTTTGTTCAGCTCATCACATTCAGCTTTAATTCCATCGATACGAATTTTACATTATTTTAAGTAGATGATTATTTGTGACTCATTAAAGGAATTCTGTCAGCCAAAAAATGTGTAGATTTTGATTGCTTAATTGATAAATTCTATTTTTATTGATTTGTAAATATTTCAACATATCTTATTTTGAAATTTAAAAATATTTTTTGATAACCAGAGGAGATTATTTATGTTACCCCTTGGAAACTCAATCCGTCTTGAAGTGACACATCAGGTTTCATTTTACCTTATCTGTACCTTACCCCATTGGACTACCATCGTGAGCCATGTTCTTATAACTTACTAATTTGCTCTATAGAGTGGGGAGTGCCCGCCACTGTAGGGCCAGAGTATTTTGGCTTTTAGTTAGACTAAGAAAACTACGTGCACCATGAGTCTAAATTATGGTCTAAACCCTATATAGTACTGGAGTATATAAGGTCCATAGAGTAAAATGAATCCTGTTGACTCACATCAAATATTTTGAGTTTCCGTCACATCAATTAATTTTCTCTTGATAACAATTCTACGGAACTTTTTATAAGTCCTTCATTCTGAAATCTATTCATCTTCACATCAAATTCATGATTTCATGTGAACATGACCGTAATGATTTAGATGTCATCTTTGAACTTTCAGTTATTGCAATACTTATACATGGTAATTTACACAAAACATTCTGTATTTATCAGTATTTATGTATCATAGTTGGTTTCTGACTCTAAACATTCATGAGATATTCCTGCAAATTTGCTATATTACTCGATCACTCACTTCTCCATGGTGATAATTACCCTTTGCACAAGGTTATTACAGATGCCTCATCTCGTGATTCGGGTCGGCGTTTTCACGACAAGCATCATTATGACTGTTTGCTTTTCCGTTCCAAGAGAAAATGAAACTCGGCCTCGCTTGAAACTTTCTACGAGCTAACAGGAACCCGAAATGAAAGGCAGAATGGTACACTATGCTCGACATTTCTCGGTACATGCACAGTACATGAAACAACGAAGGTTCGTCGGACGAAGTCATTCAGCTCGGCCACCAAATTTCACTCTCCCCTTTCGGTGCACAGTCGTAAAAAGGCAGTCATGTCGAAACTTTGTGACGCGACTCTCGTTCCTGCTGGACAGAGAAAATCTCGGGCCTCGGTACACACCTCGTTGCCTGTACCGTATAATAAAGTAGTTTAATCATACGATCCTACGTACGTACTCGTGATCGCGTTAAGTAAACTATCACCTGACGGACTCTGACCGCAGCCTACTCAACGTTGGGACTTTGAATTTCGAATATCGGAATCTCCAACGGGCACGCGGCACCCCAGGAGCTCGTCATTCGTCGCAGATTTGGATTCATCGTCGCCGCGAACCATTCCATGCACATGCCCTCAGAGGCATTCATCAGCGGATTTATTTCCCCCCTCCAGTACGTCTGTTTTGCACACCGCCGATCCGAATCTCGCCCGAGGATGGACGGATTGAGAATGATTCTGTCTAGAAAAGAAAAGCATTATCCAAAAACATAAATTAAATTATTGGTAGTCTAGTGAAATAGCGCATTCCAGGGCTCGACCGAAACCGAGATAGAGAAAAGGCTCCAAAAATATCATCATTGCGCTTTCTGTTGAAGCACTAGCGAACAAATATTTCTCGTCCGCATGGAACAAATCCCAAGCAGGCCATTCACGAGGCGCAGACACAGAAAGCGTCTGTCTCATCCATTCAAAAGGGGACGCTCCCCCGCAGAAAGACAGACGGAAGGAGATCTACTTTCTGTCACATGCACTGCGAAGCGGGCCACTCCGGGCCGGAAATAAACGGACATCCTGTGATGTCTTGCGCTTGTCCTTGCCCTCTGTCAGGATCCCCATCTCCTCCGTACGCTGATTATTATTGCATCGGGCTGGTCATAATGTCAGCGGTCAAAAATGGTCATAATAGTCGCGGATCCATTTCAAAATCTGCCTTCACGTCCTGCTAGTCTAGCTAGCCCGTTCAAACCCAGACCGCCTCGGCCGAACTAGCTCCGGGACGTCTCCGACTCCTAACCGAGCTGTCGACGCGGTCCGGGTTCCGAACGTGGTTTTGTACGTACTCTCTCTTGTTTCTAAGCCTTTCCTCCTTTACTGTACGTACGCAGGAGACTTACGACGTTCGAATAAGCGCTGGATTGAACCGTCAATTCTCGATCTTTCGACGTACAGTGTTGACTTGCTTTTTTTAAGGACTTTTACGGTTTAAAACGATTTTGTGGTGTACAAAGGCAGACCCTCCCGGTCTGCAATGACGGGAAAAACAGCGCTTTTGAAGTCTTTATTGACTTTGTCATGAACCTTTGGGTTTTTCTCCTTTCTTAATATTATCTTTGTATTCCTTTACTGTTTCCTTCTTGAGTTTTCTGTACTTTGACAAGGCGACTTCTAGTTCTTGGGTAGTTCACACTTGGAGGGGGGGATTTGTTCGGGGAGGTCTAGGTTTATCACAGACGTATTGTCAAAACAACGTACAGCCTTTGCTTCTAGAACTTGTTCCAGCTGCGAATCCAATTGTGATAGCATCAATTGTCGTATTTATCGCCGCTAATTGTGATTTTAGATTCAAGAACTCTCTGGAAAGCTTCGTTTCGACCATGTACCAGATAACGGCATAATGTCGTGGCCGGAATTTAGGTGAGGTCGAGAACTTTATACTCTTAGTCAATGCTCTACTGTGCAAAAGAATGCAAGAAAACTGATTTCACTCCATACGTCCGAAGCAAGCAATCAGTTCAAACATGGGTCAAGGTCAATACTCGAGGGACGGTTCTTTAAACTATTGTAAACTCTATGCAAACAATCAGTTCAAACATGGGACAAGGTCAATACTCGAGGGTCAGTTATTTAAAAATTTGTAAACTCCATGTACTGAAGATATCCATCATTTGCAAAGTCATTAAAGTGCTTATGTCTTCCTACTATGATCAAGATAAAAGAAGTTATATTGAGTATGTGCACTGCCACAACGTTGTTTATTCAATAACTAGCTGTAAAAGACAGCAGAAACATAGTAAAATAACCTTTGAGGTTCATCTTAGCATTCCATTTTCCAAAAAATATAATATTAGATCAATGTTGAAACCAAATCATTTTTGCTTCTATTTAATTATTACAGAAAGAAAACATGAAGCGAATATATATACATATATCTTTGAATGAAATAAATGAAAAATAAGCTAAGGAGACAATTATCGTAGTAAAATAACTTCAAAACAATTTCTATCCAAAATCACGTTTTCGTATAGCTCAAAAAGATCAGAAGATTTTTTTGAGCTCTTGTCATTTCTAAGAAAAAAAAGTTGAAGTCATTAATCAATCAATTTTTGATAAAAATGAATTATTTAATAGTATGAAAAAAAACTTCAGAATATCACTAATCGGTGAATGTGACCCCATTATTCTATTTGGTTTTACAATGTCTTCTAATGTACCTAATCATCTAGTTGTAAACCATTTACTTGACACACAAAATTTACACACAAGATAGAGTTTTTTCTAAATTTTTTTCTAATCAAAATTTATTTAAAGATGTTGAATGACAACATCGTATAATCATAAACATTTCATGTACTCTACAAACAAATATTGGTTGTTCGAAAATGACGATATACTAAAATTTCATACGTATGTGTCTATAGTTGTAAAATGAACGTATGTCTTGGAAATTCTAAGAAAACACATCAGAAAATATATAGCGAATTGTATAGGAGATAAAAATGCTATCCAAACTTGTAAAATCACAAACATGAAGAGTAAAATTCTCGGAAGGATTTATGGTTCATATATATATATATATATATATACACATTCATTCATTCCTCATGTTCACATGCACATCCTTTGCTCAGAACATGTATCGTACGAACTCTGCACTTACTAACTAAGTGTATAATCTAATATAATTATCATTCTAATAATCTGAACTTGCAAAAAAATTCTCTCAAAATTTTTGTTAAGTATTATTACATGTTCAGAGATATCAGGAAATATTTTGTTCCATATATATCCTGGATTTCCACACGAAAGAAAGAGGCGAAGTACTGATTTTGGCACCCTTGGGTTCTCCCCTGGTTCTTCTTTTCCATGGGGCCCCCATCCGCATTTGGGCACCCATGTTTGCTGCCTCCTTCGGAATTATACCGAGCCATTTAGCAGCCGACCCGGTGGGATTTGATACTGGGGTTCCAATCTTCAAATGCACCCGG